TTTTTTCCGTCCAACCGCGAAAAACGTGTTATTAAGTATATCCGTTTGGCCAACACGCATTATCATACTATACATATTACGAACACTGCACATAACATTATGTGCGGACAAGTTCGCCCACCGACGTCTCAGCCACCCGATCCTTCCCCACGCCCTGTCCCGCCCTGTTCACAGCACTTCAGCCCCACCCGATCGTTCTTAACTAACGCGTCGGACCGCTCCCGCTCGACGCGTGTGCTGCAGGTGGTTATGGGTAGGTACCTGTCTATATAGTGCCTTATAAGGTACCTACATGTTATTATGTAAATTCGACCGCCGAAAGTGACCACAATATCATCACCGCCGATATTAGCAGCTGCGCGCAAAAAACCGGATAAATACACTTTTGTCATCGTTTTTTTTTCGTACCAGGAATGCCAACGAATTATTTAAACACACTATTATAATTAATTAACTTCTGATTTTATCCTTGATTTTATTGAATATTAAAATCCTCGCATCTTCGGTATCCATGTATATTATGCAATTATAAACGATTATAGCGTCGTCGAAAAAAAAAAAAAAAAAAACTCAAAAATAGTTAAGTACTTAGTAGGAAATGCAATTGTTTTATTCGTGTCAGCTTAGGTGTGTTCTCCAAAATTACTCGACCGATATTTACGAGAATTTCGAATTGTTGTTATAGGTATCAGGAAAGCTCAGAGAGTAGTTTGAACCAGGTTCTAAAATGTACACAGGTCTATGCACAGGCCGCGGGCGGATTGCCCATCTCGGTCGAACTACTTCACAAAAGTAGACCTACACCTGTTTAGTGTACATAGGTAGTAGGTACACATATTATACAGCGCCATATTTTATATTTGTTTATTTTTAAATGGACGAAGTTAAGTTGGGCCGTTGTACAGCTAGTTATAAAATATATTATTGTACTGTACATTTACTGTTTCTACATATTTTCTAAATCCTACTTGTAATATCATAATATTATCTTTACAGAAATTTCCAAAATCTCATTTCACATTTCATATATTATACTCACACTGTACACACATGCAAACGTCATATGATGTGACACCGACACGGTTTTATTATATCTTAATTTCGGTAACCACCGCCAATGGGACTAACTATGTAGGTATATACGTTGTTATAGGTACATGATATTGCAGGTACATAATATATAAGCATGCGTTTATGCGTATGTACCTACCTATGGTAAAAAATCGCGTTCAAGAAAACACAATTTTAGGTTGACGCGATATTATGCCCAACAGCAATGCATTTCTAATACATCACCAGATGACCGGAATAATGTATTTAGTTATTTATTAATTTTCTCCGATGATAATTCCCATCAAATTCATTTCAATGATGAGCTGTCCTAGTTTTCGGTCCAAATGTCATTTTCGACGTTTTTATGCCAAACGGCATGGGCACTATAGACGAAATCGATGATTGGACACGTAGATATTATAGGAAAAGCTAGTACCCATATGGCTGTATAATATTGTCGAAAACAGATAACAATATTACCTTTGATTAATCTCAAAGTCCGTTTTCTTAACTTGTTAATTTTCACAATCATTATACTGTTCGTCATGTTAACATCGCACCGATAATAACACGCATTTGTACTTTTGATACACAATTAGCATTTGACATTAAACCATTTATTATTATTTTCTTATGTTTTGATTTTACTATTTACAGATTTACTTGTTCATAAATGACATTGAAATCGTAGTTGATGATACGCCTCGTACATCTTATTTGCGCATGACATACATTTTTTGATTTCACTAAAATATTATGTTAAGAATCGGGTACTTATTACATTTTTGTTAATGTAGTGACTAGCAAATCTTTTAGCTGTTGTACGCATTTATTCGTACTCCATAGGCACAAATTTTAATTTTGTTTTTTTAAATATAGCCAAAAATAATAACTAATAATAGGTAATATATATAGGTAGTAATATTTTATTGTTTAAAATTAATAATCCACACATTCAATAATATATTAAAAACAAAATATATAGTCTTAATATTTATTTTTCATTAAAATAACTATTTTTGAAGTTGAAAAAATAATATAATTACAACCAGTAATAAAGTAATAAGCCAAAATAACCTCTCACTATAACACAAAATCATCCCTATAAAATCAGACTACGTAGTTTCTTACGTCTAAAATTAATTCAAGATATAATTATCCAACAATGTGAATGATTAATAATTATTTACATTGAAAATAAGCGTATACATTGGATTAATTATTAATACATTTATAAGTTGAAACGGTTTGTGATTTGAATTAGAATATAAATATATGCACTTCTGCAGAACAAATTTTATGTAAACTGCAAAGTTATGAGTACCATATTTTAAATTACCGTAACTTAATGTTGTGGACTGTAATCATTAAATATATACAAACCGCAATTTTTTTATTACATTTTAAATTAGTGGCTATAATTTATTAAAGCTTAAAATCAAGGCAGTTAATTTTATGATTAATTTATTTTTTAAAAATACGACACATTACTTTTTTTTATCAAGAAATTGAATTTCCCTTATATTAACATAACTTATTAGAATACGAATTCGGTTTAAACTTTTTAAGCTGTAGTCTAACTGTCACCCTTTATTACGAGTTCTTAAATTGAAGACGATGCTGATGACTAAATTTATTTAAAACGTGTATTGATTTTTTAAATTATATTTATTCAACACGATATTTACAGTAATATTATACAATGTCACGTATAGGTTTTTATATCCTGTGTAATAAAATGCGAGTTATTAAAAAGATTACAAACATGAAAAAAAATAACTTTACATCTGTCCAGGGTGTATTGATTGGTTAAAAATTGCACATACAATATATGCTATGTGTTAGCACTTTGTAGGTACACCTAATCAACAATTTTTAAGCGCACACCTATCATTTATGACACAGTAAAATCGGTGCATATAATAATATAGTTATTGAGTAAATTTCAAACCAAAATCATAAATAGTGTTAATATAGGTAGGTATGTATAGGTACCTTTTCAAAAAATGTAGTTTCTATAACGAATTTATGATGGTAAAAAAAAATCGCCACAAAAATTTAAAAAAAAAACTAAATAGGTAGGTTAGAGCTGGTATACTTACTTTTATTTTATAGGACTACATTTTTGTATGCATACCTACATGATTTTGTGCTCTTTCTGCGTGTAGTAGAAAATTTTTGTAATCCGACCGGTAAAACTAACTTTTCCCTATTATTTCTTTTTGAATTTTGACGTTCCAGAACGCGTTTGTATTCATATCTCTTTTAACCTTTTTCATAATAACGATAATATATATTACACGGTGCTCTTAATCTCTTGTGTATCGATCTTTTGTACCGAGCCGTCGTCGGTATGCATTTTTGCGTGGTCATACACATCAAAATGTGCGTGATATTCAAAACCAAATAATAATGTGGTTATTGGTTTAGTGTCATCCAAATAGTGTCCATATACACGTGTAGTAAGTAATAACATATAATAGCGACTTATCTTATATATATATATAAATAAATTATAATATCATATACTATAGGTTTTCGGATTAAGGTCACTGCACTATTGTAGGCCGTTTCCAATAATATACCTGTGCACCTAATATGAAATAAACAAATTTCCATTTTGACGTCAGTCCGTTGATCACCCGTCGTTTAATGATGATTTTGCGCAAATTACGTATCAAGAAATCCGTGAACAAGTCGTTTTGGTCGGATTTTGTGTATTATTTGTATGATTATGGTTGTTCCGCGTTCGGACGTGGCTTATCATCTTTGTCGACATAGTTCTTAGTCCTGGGCTTGCCGCACGGGTTTAACTGGTCGCGTGCGCCCAAAATATGCGTTATATAAGAATAAAAATAGAAATTTACCGTTACCTACACGGCGAGAATCCTCCAGATGTATGCTTGGCATTATAGCTTACCACATTACAATAAAACATACTGACAAACTCGCTTTTTACACGATGTTTGGTATGACCACAGCCGATCGTCTGATAATAACCTGACCTGCACTCTCTCCGAAATGGTGCACGCTACACATTGAACAAAATATAATATCATATTAGTATACACGGACGGCTCTGAACTCTGACCGATTTAATGACGTTCCTTCGCGTGTACCCCGATTGTGTTTGATGGACTAGACAAACAATCCGTCAAACCACACGAAATGTTTTTTGAGAGTGAGAGACAGACAGACAGAGGAAAGAGGAAGAGAGGCCTTGCGAGGATTTCGTGTCAGTAACACGGAGCGACGGCCTCCGGAACGACTGTCTGCCGTCATATCCGCCGATAAGGATCTGCGGCAGGAGATAATAGTGGACGGCCGGAAGTCGAAATTAGAATAAAATAATGGGAATCGTCCACGACAATTATTTTATCGTTGTGCGGGTACACCTTATAATAATGTGTAATTACCATTTTACCACCCACTAACCTGGTTAAGTTAATATAATTATTGTTTTTGAAGACAAGTGTTAAAAACAAAGTATGATGAGATTGTTATAACGGGTCTTTCTGCGAGCATTTTACTCCATTCAACGCGATTTGCATAAAATATTACAAGCGCGTAAATTATTATACGTATCACTAATTGATGATTTGTTTCTCAACGTTTGAAAAAATAAAAAAAAAACACCAGTTATTAAAACTACAACAGAATGTTAATCCGATATAATTTGAAATCGCTTTATTTTCAAACAAACATGTTAAAACTTATATTATATATCTATCGTAGAAATAGGGGTTTTGTTGTAAAGCAGCTATAATAGCTATTATACGAGTTATATCTATAATTAAATCAATATAGATGATGAAGACTATTACAAAAACGTGTCTTCGAAAGTAATTATTATTGTTATGCCAGGTCGTACCTACAACGTCAACGGAAACAACAACAACAATAATAATATGGTCTTTTGCCATCTCATATTAAATAATAAACACTTGCAATGAATAATAAATCATATAATCCAACAATAAAAGTAAAATCAGGCCACTCGAGGAGGATTCGGAAGCAAATATCAAAAATCGATTAGACAGCTATTATGTGTAGGCATCGTCGTTATAATGATAAACGGACAATGGAGTTATAGAAAATATTATTATCATCGCTAAGCACCGCGTGTGATTTAGGAGATGGTAGAGGGAATCGTGGATGCAGTGAAAGGTGGTCGGGTAGTCAGTGGTCATAGTGCTTTTGATTCTCGGACCATCTGCATGTATGTGAACGCATTGTGTTAATATACCTATTAATAGAATTATGATGTTTTTTCAGGTAAATCATTCGTTTGTTGTTCATGAGCAGTTCTATTTTTTATCACACTATTTAATGATTTTCCAGGTATTGTTGTTCTGTCTGATCGCCTATGGACACAGCAGACCGTCGGACACCGATGAACACGACGAGATCCTTAGAGAAGCGAAGAGGGACAACAAACACTTCCAACAGTAAGTAAACACCCCTTTTTTTTGTTTTGCGCTCTTGAAAGCGATTTAGCGATACATCAATATTAATGTATATATAATATTTAAAAAAATAATATTTTACTATCAACAACACTACACCTTAACAAATTATAAACATTAAACACTGTACAAAAAATGGGTTTAACACAATATTAACGCATTTGATAACTGCAACTGACTTATTTAAGATAATATTATAAACTATAGGTACCGACTGACAAAAGTTTTAAGTTTAAAATCCTTAAACTCTGAACGGATTAGTTAAGTACTCGTATATTATATTTTACTAAACACACACGTTAGCAGTGCACAATTTCGGTGGTTTTTTTCTTGTTTTCTACGGTTTTAGTGCTTTATGCAAAATTATGGCAATGGATCGGTCAAAATATTCAATGCGTGTAACATAGTATATAGAAGGTAAGCTTATTTTCAAACACATTTTTTTGTATTATTTTTGACATGTAAATATTTTTGTTACGCTTTGTTTTTTTTCCGCTCAAATAACTTAACATATTTCATTTTTTATAATTACTAAACAAAATATCCCCAGCAATGTACACTTTCGGTAAAAGTTTTAAGCATTTTCTGATATAAAATATCAAAAAAAATGTATAAAATATTTTTTGGTGAGGTTAAAAAATTGTTTCTACTTCGCAATTATTTTCTTCTTTTTTTTTTTATTTCACTTGTATAATAAACACGGGTGGTTTAATAAGAGTTTTGTGTATATTTTAGTGATAGCGTAAGCGAACTACCGCTACAGCAAACGGAATCTTCGACAACGGAAAACATGTTGGGCCGATTGAAATCGATAGCGCACCTGCGAATGGCTGAGACGAAAAAGCCGGCATTGGACTCTATGACCAGAGAAGAGCTGGAGGCGCTTAGGGACCTTTTAGACAAAAACCTTCAAAAGTATCAGAATTACAACGAGTACTCGACTAGGAAACGGCCAAGCGACCCGTATATAGGTCAGATCCTCCAAAACCTGAACGGAGAACCACAATCAATCGGAGGCGGTAACAACAATAACAACATGCAGCAACACCACCACCACAACAATAACAACAACGACGACGACGACAAACAACTATCGGAGCACCTCCAGATGCCCATTAGGCGCAAGATCATCAGACACACGGTGTTCGCGACGCCAATGCAGGGTGGCAACACGGGCGTTCCGAATCGGATGTACAACAGCGGTGACGCATCGTCGAGGATCGATTGGGCGTCACCTTGGGCCGATTACTTTCCGATATTAATCAAAGATCCGCTGCAGACGATGATGAACTCGTTTTCCGAGATTATCGAGTACGGCCCGGCCGCCGATATTTGCAGACACGGAACTGCCGACTACGCGGCCCCGACCAGCGAGGACGCCAACCGGTTGGACGGTGCGTTGGTATCATCCCGGACTACTAGGCGGATGGTTGGTGGCGGTATGGTGTCCGCCATAAGACCGGAAACGCGGAGACGGTCGCGCCGGAACACGGCAGCCCAACGGTCGGAAGAGGAAAAGGGAGCACTGCTGAACCACGTGCGGCCGTTCAAGCAAACGACGACGACCGCGGCGCCGGAACCGTCAAAGCTGTTCGGCTGGACGCCGGACAAAGAGGCCACCGAGCACAACGGCGACACCGGCCCGCAGATCAAGCGGCTTGTGGTGCGCCGCGGCGGCGTGGCGATCGCTGGCCCCGGCGGCATAGCCACCGCAGGATCAGGGGGCACGGCGATCGTGGGCCCCGGCGGCTCGGCGTACAGCAACAAGCACACCGCGTCCGGTTCCTCAGCGGACGCCCCCATGCCGGCCGGCGGCATCTCGATGGCCGGATACGGGCCGCAGATGGTGCAGGCTCCGACCGGATATTACGCGCCGTATCCGCCTCAGAACAATGGTTTCGGCAGGAGCTTGGACGCCGGCGCCGGCGGAACGGCATATCTGTCCACGGACGGCGTCGCGTACACGTTTCCCACGGCGTCCCGGGGACTGACAGCGTCCCAACGTCGGCGAGGCGGGGGTGAAGGCCGCGAGATCTCACTTCCGGACGGTGCCAAGCTGATAGCCACTGGGCCGATAGTGTACTACAACCCCGAGCCGTCCGTCCGGAAGAAGTCGCGCAAGAGCAAAAAGTCCGCGATTTCCGGGCACGCCAACGCCGCAAAACTCGACGACCACCTGTTTTGACGACACCCCGCCGCCGTTCGTTTATCCGTTTGTTCCTCTACAACAACAACAAGACTGTCGTGATATATTGCACTTGATGATAACAATATGATATTACTATAGCTCTACGATTGTTGTGCCTTCATTGACACTTTATATACATATTATTATTATACATACATAAGTTTACCTATCGTATATTTTATAGAAATATTTTTTAGTCCTAACTCTCATTTAAGTAGACCTCTAACAATAATTATGATCATTACATCACACTTTCCTATACGAGTACAATATATATTGTAGTTGTATACAATAATTATAAACCTCGTGGTAGTTCCATAACATTAACGTGTATAATTTTCATAAATATTATATAAAAATGTGTAGTTCTCCCCTTCGTCACTTGTATGCTTATTTACTCTATCAAACTTGTAAGGTGAAGGCTGTATTGTCATATTATGTATTATCATACGAGTAAGATATTACGCGTGCCTAACGTTATTCATAATATATTGTAATATTATTATACGATATTATTAACAGTATTTTTCAAATTTCTTTTTAAATGTTTACTAATAATTCAACTCTGAACACAGAGTTTACCAACTACTTATTTATTATGGTTTGCTTGTTAATACGTAAAAATAATTAAGTCTTATTAGATATTACATTATTACAAGTAGGTATAGGTGTCTATATGTAATCTCAAACGCTAACTTATTATATGGAATTTTATTGTATAAGTACAACCTAATTAGAATATATTTTTATTTTGAAACATATTTTAGTCTTATATTATTTTAATAGTTATATTATTTATAACCTCATTGTAATATTAACACTCAATATAAAAATTATTATAATGTAAAACATTTTGATCAATTTCTAAGTGGTTTTTAGAGTAATTTTATTGCACTACATAATGCATTCAAAACTATATTTTATACAAATATTAAATTAAATTTTTTACATTTCTAACTTGCTCTCGACTTGTATACCAACTCTTGTATTTTACACAACTTTACACAATTAGGTACCTTTGTTAAACATTTTTTTTTTTTTATTTAAACTTAAATAAGACTTTACATTTTATTTGAAGGTTTTGTTATAAACATAAATAATTTCGCTGTAAGAAATTATTATGTATAATCTTGAATTGATAACTAATCCGCGAGTTGACGAACTTTATCAAATATGATATTATATTATCATTACGGAATGTTGGCCTTTCGTGGTTCGGAAGATACAATATTAAAATTTTAGGCATTTGGTACTATCCGATATATATATAAATATATAATACGTTAATATAAAACTGCATTAGTGCGTTACTGTGTAGGTATAATATTCCAATAAAGAAACCTAAAACCATAAACTAATAAAACGAGATTTTTCTTCACATCAAAGATTTTTTTTTTACCAACCGAGGTAGTGATGTACAATACATGAAATCGGTGACAGGCAGTAACTTTATGGTCATAAAGCTACGTAACTGTGTGACTGTGTCTATATAAAAGAAAAAATATAACAACAACAACAAAAACAACAAAAACCAGATACCTACTAACCTAAAAATAACAAGTACTTTAATAGAAAAACCAGATATACCGCATTTGAAAAAGTTTAATGTAAAAACATTATTTACGTTGTGTACCGGTATACATCACATCAATTTATTATTAACGGACAACAAACTTTTCATAAGTTACGCTCTATTATAATATATTAGTGTTTGTTCTTCATTTCTCATATTAGGTAATGTTATAAGATTATATTACATATTTCTAAATTGTTCACAAAATTACCTAGTAATGTACTACTATATATCGTATATGATTAAGACTTTTGGCTATTTATTTAAACGTTCGTGTAGGTACTGATTATGTCACTGTTATCTACTAATATAAGACATTTTATCGTTCATCGTCTATAATAGAGATGGGCGACTCAAAGTTATTAGAGGGCCAGGGCATAGAAAGCAAACGACGTAATTTATAAATAAACTTATACAGTATCCACTATTGACTGTACAGTACAGACTATAGATGAACAGAGAGTATAGACGATAAACTTTAAAATTGTGTAATGTAATTTTAAAATGTAGAACGGGCCACTAGTTGCCCATCCCTGATCAATGACCATCTCGGCATTTATATATTACTCGCTCTATTATCCGACTCTGATCCGGGTGAAAATAATCTATCTTGCTATCGTTTTCCGTTTTTCTTCTGTTAATAAAATGCAAACGTTTATGAACACAATTACAATGATTCTTTTTATTATTGATCACTACATAATATTCCGGAAGTATATCTATATTTTATGTCAAAACAAAAAAACTGAATACCGATTTAACGAACGCTTGAAATCCGACGAGAATCCAATACCCTTCATATCGATAATAGTATGTATTTGTTTACATGAAAAATATTTCCAGTATTAAGAAGTTGCAAATCATAAAACTATAAAAGTAATCATTGCAATAATTGCGTATTCGTTAGTATTCGGTTTTAAGATTTGACAATACCACTGTTTAAATTTCTGTTTTTTTCTTAATGTAATAAAATTATCTTGTCGGCTATCGCTTATTTACTTTGTTTAAATAAATATAAAATCAATAATTTATGAAAATATTCATTGAAGGCAAATTAATGAATTCGAGTTAATCTTTAGAAAAAATTAAAAGTATGTATTAATAATTCAAATATGTTCATCATAAACGTAATAAACAAAATCCTTGCTTGAGTCCATCTTTAAAATTAGGATTTTTGAAAATCTCTTTCTTTGTACCAGTGGAGTATATAGGATGGGGGGGGGGGGGTATTAAACTGACCCTTTATATATTTTTTTATTACGTATTGAATAAAATTTAAAGAATATTTTGATATATTATATACATGAAAATATAATTTTTTTCAGTCGGGACATCTTTCATCTGTACGAATAACACAGTTATTGGTTCAATATTGAATTCAAACGAAATAATCGCATTTATATGAAAAGTGTATGCACACTAAAGTATTTTTTAATTTCATTATGTTCATACGTCGGACGTAATTGAATTTACCTACACATGAACACAAATAGTGTTCGTATAAAAAAAAGTATTGTTCAGCGGGCCGTTTATTATTCATCTTAAGTATGGGTTTTATTTTTTGCTCTTGTTCGTTACAGTTCGTATATAATCTGTTTGAACACTTCCACGTACGAAACGACTGTTTATTTGTCTGCATCATTATAACCGTGAGCGACCCACTTAATAAAAATATATATTCTATGATTTTAATCCTAAACCAACGAGTAGACGATCGTAGACAGCAACTACACTAAACGGAATGTCACATTCGTCGATCGTTCTATCGACCAAACCACTGTATATACCTACGTGCAGTATACCAATAATACCATTAATGGTGTACCGCGGCGCTCAACCGTCAACGACAAACAAACGAAAACAAATAATACATAAAATCGAAGGCGTTTTACACGGACAAACACTGCACGATGTCTCGTCATTATAGGGCCAAACGCCTAAACCTAACCGTGGTTATTGTATGCGCAGGTATCGGCTGCCGTACTGGGCATTCGTGCCGACGTTAGGCGTTTGGCCCGGAGTCACCGGAACCGGAAGCGGAACTGGATCAGCAGCCACCGCCGCCACAATCCCACCGCCGCCCAAGGGATCCGTGGCCGTGAACCTGGACAGCGGCCGAGTGACCGTGATAGACGACTTGGCTGCAGGCCGATCGGAAGTCGGGGACGCGGCCGCCGACCCGAACCGGAAGTGGCGGCCCGCACAGGTCAAGCCGATGCACCCGAACACGCCGAGCGTCGGCGGACCGAGCTGGCTGAGGAAGACGTCTGCAGTGGCGGCGGCGGCGCCAGATCCGGTCGTACAGCCGACTCAGGTGAAAGACCCCGCGGCCGTCGCCACTGATCGACCGGTTACCAAGATATACCTGAAACCGTCGGCCAGGGCGAAGGCCGGTGCCGGCGGAGTGGCCCTGTCGAACCCGATCAGCACGGCCGTGGTCCGCAGGGGCGACACGGTCAGCATTGAATACCTTCCGGACGCCACGGCGGAAGCTGGCGAAGGCGGCGTGGCCATATCCCGACCGGAACTGGTCATCCATTTTATCGACTGAAACCACACGCGCCCTCCAAATACACCGACAACGCCGCCATAAAACCGTTACTATAGGTCTATAAATTGTGCCATACACACGTGTTATGATATATGTTGTAATATATTATTTATGCGTACGAACATACACTATACTCGTGCAGTATACGATGTATAATGATTTTTATATGATTTTTATATGATATTATTGCTATTATTTTTTCAATAGTGATGTTCACGAGTAGGTACTTTATGTTTTCGTTTTCTAGAAGATGATCGAAAAAAAATTATCTGAAAACAATACTGTTATTATAATATAATGTGTTACTTGTGTTTGTATACGAATCGATGTATGACTATTAATATTATTGTTCTGTCATATAAATGCTCGTCGTAATATAATGTGAAATGCCATAACTATACAAATTATATTACTATATATTATTTACTTTATTTAATCTGTTTTATTTTTCAATAACGTATTGGCTTACCTTTGACGTCTGGAAACGGAGAAATTAAACGCGACACACTTGACGGCTTTAAACAAGTTACGATATTACTAGGACATCGAAATAACAGTTAATAACGTACTAAAAAATATACTTAACCTATGTACTAATTCTTATAGTTACCCATTGGCGATTGGCCATTACCTATTTACTGTTTGAAGCATATGTATATATTATTAAAATATACACCGTGCGATGTGCATAGTTAATTTGTGTACTCGCGTAACATATTTATTTTAATCTACCGCGTAAACGGTTTTTATACCATATTATCTATTTAATTTAAGTTATTGGTACCGCCTGTTTATTTAAAAAAAGTTGTACCACCTATAATAGTACGTAATATTATTATTAGTATGCGCCATTGGAAAGTTTCGAGTATAAAAGAACTAAAAATTACTATTCACTACAAAGGACATTCCATTAATACAGCTTTTTTACTGCCATATAGTATACTTAGAAATAAGAGTTGTTTAATCAAACAATTAATACAATAATCATTTCAAATCGTTTTTCTTTTTTGATATTCTTAATACAACATTCTTTTGTTTTTTTTTTTTGTTCGTGTGAAAATATTTTGTATTATAATTAACACCAACAAAAATTGTTCATCTCGACAAAAATAAAGGTTATAACTTTATAAGGTAATATTATGCAAAATTAGTCCATCCTGCAGCATTTTCTTTTTAATAGTTATTATTACCTACACCTAAGAAACCTCGACATTTAAAATCATGTCTTCGAGAATTAATCTGTTAACATAAATAATTAATCGCAGAATTCCGAAGAAGTTAAGTAGGTATTCTTCTTTCGAATAAATGTTCTGAACACTCTAACAATACTACAATAGGTATTTTGGCACAAAAAAAGTACTCTTCGCAAGACTGCTCATTGCTGATAATCGTGTATGAAGCATGACACATTAGATTTATCTAAATGAATCGATATTATCGATATAATTATGATGACTATTGACAAATTTAAAAATAAGTAGATTGTGATTTCTAGGTAACATACAAAACACATACTGTCTATTGTGCAAGTGTTTTATTATTTTTATTTTTTAATTCTTGTTCTAGACGTGTTGTAGCAAATTTGGTTTGTTTACGTTGAAAATCAAATATAATATTAATAAGTAATAAGATTGTTTGTTATTAGTCGAGTATACCACATAATAATATTACTAGACTAAGGTATCTTTATGCTCTTCAGTTTTTAATCAAGTTTCGTTTTTTTACGACCAAAAATAAAAATGAAACGATCTATTTTATAGTGATTGACAAGATGGATGTAATAAACTACAGGTACTGAAAATGTGTACATTTCATTATTTCAATATATTTTATGATCTACGTTCAATAAAATAAAATACATATCTTTGTCATGCTCGTTTCAAGGTTATTCATGTGTTTGCCTAATTAGTTTTCTTTCACGATTACGAGAATCTTTATGCTGTCTATCACTTTGTACAATTTAAATTATCATCGCAGTCCAGCCAAACTACTCGTAGGGTTCAGTATACTGGGACAACTTACTTTTCTATTATTGTTTTCCATTGTACTAAAATATGATGATATGCATAGTTGATTTTTTTTTTTTTTGAACAAAAATAATATTATGCGAAGTAAAACTGAACCCACTAACAATAATATAGACGACAAGAACAGCTAAAATAAGTGTACGACTTGTGTACCTAGAGGCTAGGACAGTAGCCGGTTCAGAAGTAACACTATCCGGATGGGGGGAGGGGCAAATATAATTTGTAAAATATAACAGGTGAAAAGAGCCTTCCAAACTATAAGTCACATATTACTTATTACTAAATATAGCGTCTGTCTGACGATGAGGCAGAATTTCCTAAGAATCTATATAATCTGTAGTGTGTCGCTATTTTGCTGTAAAATCTGAACAATGAGCTAAGTCAAAAAAAGTAAACTGGAATCTTTCGAGGTGCGGTGTTTCAGAAAAATACATCACCTGAATCGAATAGATTAGTAGATTGCATACGAAGAGGTGCTCGACATGATAATAGAAATATAGATTAGTATACGTCATTCTGAGAAACGGTCAAACGGAATTTTATAACACTTATTGGAGTAGATGACAAAGGATACATAATAATAAGAGAATTAAGGGAGGAATATACTATTGAATTAATAGAATATTATATTATCTTATCATACTTTACAACGTCTTAAAGTTAAATATTACTATCTGATATTCGGATGTAAGTAGTCGTTAATTTATTTTGTAGAATAAAAAAAAAAAATACACAAATGTATTTGGTTATATTATTGCAATGATTAAGTATTGTACAATATTTAACAACCACGACAAACATATTATAATAAACTTAATTTCATGTACTGTAAAATGGATCCTTACGATTCAAAGTATCTGCAACACAACAAACATGACAACCGCATTACATTGCATACTTTGTTTTTTTAAACACCGCTTGTAGTGCTATACTAGTTACCTATGTTACACGTGTTCCGTGCCTTATTTACTATAGAGGATACCACTACTTACCAGTTACCTATGTCCTATGATTATAATGTTATATTTAAGGTTATTTAGTAAATTATTGTATTTTGTAACCAACAAAACCTTTTTCTAATCGTTTGACATTAATAAACCAAATTTGAATAAAAATAAATTTAATTTAGTACATACAACTGTTAATATGGATATAAAGTAGATTTTTAAAGATTTTTTCAATAGGTAATAGATTTAGAGCAATAAAAAAACTATCACAATACCTCTAAAACGTATATAATAATTTTCAAAGACCGAAAATAAAATACTAAATAAAACATAATATTATACGTGACATATTAATTGCTGATAGATAGCTACAACTATCATAATTTTGTATAATGAAATTATATTGTAAAAAACTAACGAGTCATATAACAATAGTCTACACACCCATAAAATTGGACTAGTCGTAGGGTGATGAATTTATACGAGGGGGGGGGCTATAGCCTTTTTTCCTTGTGGTATCGAAGACGCTGCCGGAACTTCTTGCGAATTCCGAGGGGGCTTAACAGAATTCTGGAGGGTTATAGCCCCTTTATCGCTCCCCCTCCCATTGTAAACCTATGAACAGTGTCCCATTAACAGACAATAATTTATTATTGTCTTGTACTCTTGTAATTAATTCTTCTCAGCAGCAAAGAATAGTAGGCAATGGTTATTTTAAACTATAACAATTATGATTAGATTTAAAAAAATGTTCCGAGTAGAGTTATGGGAAAATGGTCGATATATTTTGTCAAAAAAAGAAAGAATGCTTATACTTTTAATTTTATTAACGATTTTGTTGAAAATGACTAATAAATTCTTAAAAATGACCTTTTTAAAAGATATAATAACATACAATCTATATGTTCCAATATCCAAAGAACGTAAATGCTGTGTGATGTTTTTTAACCTTTTCTACTCAAAGGGTGGCTTGTTTATCACCACCTTTCAAAGAGTAAAGAATTTAAACAAATGGTACCTAATAAAACCACGAGTAAACCCCATCTTTTCAATAGTTCGTCTATCACAATAATTTAAAAATCGACCAATAATAATATTGTGTCGGTCGTATAAAGGGGTATTCTACTGATCATGTTCATCGCTTTTCTTTTATTCTTTTATTTTTAAATTATGCATTTATTCATATTCTGACATTAGACATATTTTTGTGAATCATAAATATATGTATATGTTAATAAGTAACTATGACAACGAAAACCTTACGAAAAATCGGTCTAAAGCAAAAAACGTGTATTTAGCCCAAACACATATTGGTATTGAAAAATAATTGTATTGCCGCGCAGAAGTGCTCTTCTTAAATACGAATACAACTGGTGTCCTTAGAAATTAAAAGAATCATGATTTAAAACAAATTTACAAAGAAAGAAAATAATTGGGGTGAGCATACTGCAGCAGGTTGAATCACCTCGTATCACCTATAATAGGTATGACGACGATGACTATCATCATTTTAACAGCAATTAACGCAAAACCGTCTCTATACACTCTACTGCGCATTCCGCACATCGAACATAAATTCTTTACGAACAAAAAATAACGTGTAAAGACAATATTGTTATTATTATACTAATTTGCCATCAGCTATACACCATATTATAACATCAGTATAGCGGTGCGACCTGAAATGCAAAACGTCATCGCATCGTCACGAACATCCACTTCTCGGCGGCCGACCAGACGCGTTTTGACCGGTCGCCAAAACCACGTTGGCCCATTTCGCCGAACCGTGCCTACAATATTATATATTATTATAATAAGTAGTCGAAGAACAGTTATTTCGTCACCACCCCTTCTCCTTCTGCCCCCCCCCCCACACGAGTCGGCGAAAAACGCGCTTTGAATTAATGTCGTTTTGCCGCCCGCAGAGGAACCACGCGGACGAACATATCCCAATAACGACTGTACTCTGTACACGCACCTGTATAGCTATATTTATCCGCATTATTAGGTACGCGCTAATTTTTTTTTTTTCACCACTCCAAGCCAAACACTCCGGGCGAACGGCCATATCGCGTATCATCGTACCTTGTACGCATCGACCTACCCACAGAGATTAACGACGACGACAACAACAATAATAATTATCGCATTAATATAGGTGTAGGTAGTGATGTAAAATTACCGTAATTACCTCTCGAGAGAATATTCTCTAGACTAGAGAATACTAGGTAATTTTTTTCTTTTTTTGCAATAATTCATTGACTGAGCCCATATAGAAAAGACAATAAAGCCACAGTCCACAACTCCACATCATAAACATTATTTAAATAATAATTTGGTTTATATAGTATACAGTATACCTATCGGTACTACTGTATTATAGATCACTAGGATAATACTTAATTCAATATATTTTCATAGGAAACCCAAAATTAAAAAATTAAAATATAACTTCTT